GGTGTCCTTTGACAGGTGTGAGAGCAAAACCTTCCTGAAACAGGGAGCTTCCTCTCCTTCTGTGGAACAAACTGCTAAATCTGAAAACAATAAGGAGAGTTGTGGTTGTACAGGGTGCTTCCCATCTCAGCCTGAAATGTGGTTTTGATGGTGTGGACATGGGGAAATTCAGAGATTTCCCATCTCCCTTTTCAAATTTTGTTTTGTCTCTGAGCTAAGGAGTATAGATGTCAGTCCTCACTCAATTTTCCTCCTTCTCTAAAACTTTCCCGGGGCAGTGGAGCAGGCCAAGAAGGAGGCAGCTGAGAAGGAACAGGAGCTGCTAAGACAGAAACTACAGGAGCAGGAGCAGCAGATGGAGGCGCAAAAGAGGAGTCTCCAGGAAAACATAGCTCAATTGGAAAAGAAGCTGGTGTGGGAAAGAGAAATCCTAATGAGACAGTATAATATGATGCTGGAGCATAAACTGAAGGTAAGTCTGGCTGTGGCCTCAGTGGTGCTCGAAGGTCATCGCCCTGGTACCTCAGGAAGAGATGGGTGCAGGTCACAGCAAGATGCGGAAGGAAGCATCGTTGCCATTTACTGCTTGTGCTTTATTAAAATCCTGAATCCCTTGAATCCTTCTTTTTTTTATTTTTTAAAGCAGCCTTTGAATTCTATATTTTACATGGACTCTAGAGAGTTCTGGATGAGTATGGCCCCTCCAAGCCCTTGGAGAATATAAATGGGGTTTGAGCTGCTGTTTGGGGGGTTGTAAAGTAACCTCATGAGGCCAGATTAAACAGATATTCCAACCACGTGTATTTAATAGGAGCAGCGACTGGTGTGCTTTACCAAGACCATTGCCAATTATCAGGAACCCTAATACCCACAGACCCTGAGGTAGATCTTTGCTGACATAAAACTATCAGAAATGTTCATACTTAAAACACAGGGAAGTGACAGCTTCTAAACTTGCTGCATTGTCTCCAGGTGTAGATAGTCTACCCACTTTATCATATGGCATCGGAGGAATTCTGTCAGTATCCATCTGAACATGTTTATACAGATTTGTAGAACAGCTTATAAGTTCCCATTATGTCTACAATTTGGATGACTGTACCATCCCAAGTGGATCTGAGAATTAGTGCAATCTGACCAACGCTACCTGTTAATTGGCAGTTTTTGACTAGACTGTATTACATTTGTCCTCACGTCAGGCTCAGCATCCCAGCAAAACCCTAACGGTATGTGAATATTAGTAAGGCTTTAAACTATGCTTCCTCTCAATGTTGAGGTCTAAGCCAGGAGATAATTCCTTGTTTCACAGTTCTTCTTTCGTGATTGAGTAACAGAGGGCAATTTTAGGATAAAACAAAGATAGTTTGACAAAGTTCTTAAATACCAATGTAATTCTTGAAAAATGTGGACTTTAAAAGTTTTACTTTCCTCCTCACTTTTTTTTTTTTTTTCAGGTCCAAAGAGATCTCCTTAATGAAGGATTTAGGAAGAAAGCTGAAGAGATGAGCGCAGAGATAGATTGCTTGAAAAATGTGATTGATACTGCTAAAAGTGATAATACTGCCTGGATTGCAGCAATCTTGGGCAAATTTGGCAATGAGATCATTTCACTATCTTCTGCTCCTGCCAAACTTCTTGGTAATCTTTTGAAAGTCACGAGCTTACTATTTACAAAGAATTAGCCCAGGGGGCCAGCCCGGTGGCGCAAGCGGTTAAGTGCGCGCGCTCTGCTGTGGCGGCCCAAGGTTCCCCAGTTCGGATCCCCGGGCGCACATCGACGCACTGCTTGGCAAGCCACGCTGTGGCGGCATCCCATGTAAAGTGGAGGAAGATGGGCATGGATGTTAGCCCAGGGCCAATCTTCCTCAGCAAAAAGAGGAGGATTGGTGGATGTTAGCTCAGGGCCCATCTTCCTCACACACACACACACACACACACACACAAATAAAAAGAATTAGCTTTCCTTTTAAAGAAATTATAGAATGTGGATATATGCTCTGCCCTATTTTGATTGTATGCTTTTCACTTTCTTTCAGCAAAGTTTTAAACATAAAAAGTGGGGCTGGCCTGGTGGCATAGTGGTTAAGTTCACATGCTCCACTTTGGTGGCCCAGGGTTTGAGGGTTCAAATCACAGGCACAGACCTATGCACCGCTTGTCAAGCCATGTGTGGTGGCATCTCATATACAAAATAGAGGAAGTTTGGCACAGATATTAGCTCAGGGCTAATCTTCTTCAGGAAAAAGGGGACTGGCAACACATGTTATCTCAGAGCCAATCTTCCTCACCAAAAAAAAAAAAAGAAAGAAAGAAGGAAAAATATTAAAAAAAAAGTGGCTATTAGAGGATATCAATGCCTGTCCTGCATTAGATAGAGGCAATGCATGTATGCTTTGATATAGCAGGTTCACTTTTGGAAATATACATGTGCAAAATCATATGTATATAAGAAGTTCATTGAGGCATCACTTTAAATGACAAAAGATTGGAAAGTACTTAAATATCCATTCGTATAAATTGGTGATATGAATTTAACTTATCCATATACTGGAAAACTATGTAGCCAGCAAATAAATTACCAGTGGGGCTCCATTTTACGAACTTAGAACAATCTTGAAATTATATTTTAAAGTGGAAACAATGAGGTACAGAAGAGTGTGTATAAGGTGTTCACCATAAAAAAATGTAATTATTATGTGCAATCTTACATGTACACACATAGAATATGTCTGGAATGATCCATTAGATGCTAGTAACATTGCTTTTTCAGGGGAGAACTGAGTAGCATCAGGGGTGGTAGGGACACATGCTTTCCATTATATACTCTATCTTTTGAATTTTATAAAAAAAGCTTGTATTACCATTTCATAAATAAATAACAAAGACAATGTAAAGTATAATACTAATAATGATAATAATAAAAGGAATGTGATATTGACTATTAGATGATGACATTGCTCATTGCTTCTAGAAATGACATCAGCTTGGTTAATGAGGGGTCTAAGGCTAATTTCAGAGTACTAGAAAGCATAAAATTTGCATCCCAATCTTGTTTTCATTTTGGCCTTGATTTGTAATCACTTACATTTGCTTCAAAACTAAGATATAAACTTTCCCGTTGCCCTTTGAAATCACAGCTGGAGGAGCCTCTACTTCCTGTCTTTGAATTACACTTTTAAGGTGTTAGAACCAAATTACCACACATTAAGAATATGCACTAGTGAGAGAGATCCCATCATCCTGAAAAGTGCAGTGGTGGCCTCTCTGCTGTAGGCAAGAGTGGAAGGGACAATGTGCCATTGCAGAACTAGACAACCTGATAGTGTTGTGGATGATAAGTCCTGACACATGGAGGCCGGGTGTTGGCACTTAAATATCAGAAGCCCAGTACATACAATGATAGTAAAGAGCATCATGTTTTGTCTTAGTCAGCTCAGGCTGCTGTAACAAATTACCATAGACTGGGTGGCTTAGACAACAAATGTTTATTTCTCCCAGTTCTGGAGGCTATAAGTTCAAGATCAGCGTGCCATCATTGTTGGATTCTTGATAACGGCCCTGTTCCTGATTTACAGATGGCTGCTTTCTTACTGCGTCCTCACATGGTAAAGAGAGAGAAAGAGAGAAAGCATGCTTGAGAGAGCTCTCCTGACTCTTTGTTATAAGGTCATTAATCCAATTCATGAGGGCCCCATCCTCGTTACCTAATTACCTCCCAAAAGCCCCACTTCCAAATACTACCACATTGGGACATTGAAGGTTAGGGTTCCATCAAATGAATTTTGAGGTATACAAACATTTAGTTAATAACACGGTTGGAGTGGCAGCCAGCTGGGCCTGATCAGAAAGAATTCTGAAGATAACGAATAGAACAGGGCATCTCTAGGTTCAAAAATGATGGGGAGAAAACAAATGGAATCAAGGATGTTTATCAGGAGGCTGAGAGGTAGCCCTGATAAAATGTCACAATCCCTAGCCCCAATCTGAGCCAATTTCAGACCATGAACCTATCAGCTGGAGGGGAGGCAGGATCCCAAGGCAAAGGACCCTGCAACTCTGGGACAAGGATAAATGATAATGACTCTCTCAGTCCTCCTCCTAAAGGACCTCTGGCCATTTACTTGATACCTGTGTACTGAGGAATGGGAATGCTCCAACATTTCAAGGACTCGTGGAATCAGAATCCAAGTTGGCAGTGATACCAGATACAGGAAGGACTTCTTAGTCTCCCTGTAAAACTAGGGGCACACGGCATCTAAGTAATAAATGCAGTCCTGGCCGAAGTGCAACTAATTGGAGTCTAGTATTTGTTTTCAACTAGAAGCAAAGTTCACTGAGGATAGGGACCAGTACATATTCTTCTGTACATCTCCTCAGAGTATGTTTAGGCAGAGAATGTACTAAATTAGCATCTGCTGGAAAAACAAAAGGTTGACACATGTGTGATTGTTTTTAATTGCCATAATTCTACAAATACTCCAATGGTCTCAGGTAATAGATAGTTTGGATTTTTGACACCAGATTAAGGACTTTAAGGTGATTTAAAGGCTAGCAGCCTGAAAGAAGCTTTCTGGCGAAGTCTCCTCTCTGTGACCTCATTTATCAGTCTCCATGCCTCTGTGAGGATGTTAACACATCTGCACTGGAGATTTTAAATTGCTCCATCCAGCTGTGGCTTCAAGTGTTCAGAAGGAAGAATGGCTTTGCCTTTTCTTTTTTTTTTTTTGCCTGAGGAAGATTGGCCCTGAGCTAACGTCTTTGCCTGTCTTCCTCTATTTTGTATGTGGGATTCCACCACAGCATGGCTTGATGAGTGGTGCTTAGGTCCATGCCGGGAATCCAAACCTGCACACCCTGGGCCGTCAAAGCAGAGCCTGTGAACTTAACCACTATGCCACTGGGATGGCCCCCCCGCCGCCCCCCCCCCCCTATTTTTTTTTTTTTAGGAGTGAAGATTTTTTTTTTCTTGCAATATCACACCCAGGATATTGACATTGATACAGCCAAGATACAGAACAATTACATCACCACAGGGATTTCTCTTTTTGCCTTTTATGGGCACACCCACGTCCTCCACTCCCTCCTACACCCCTTCCCATAACTCCTAGAAACCAATGACCTCTTCTCCATTTCTATGCTTTCATCATCTCAAGAACGTTATATAAATTGAATCATACAGTATACATACATATATACAGTATATGATATGTATATAATACGTATATACATATCTTACAGTATACATACATACATATAACCATTTGGGATTGTTTTTTTTGTTCACTCAGCATAATTTCCTCAAGGTCCATCCAAGTTGTTGTGTGTATCAGTAGTTCTTCCCTTGTTATTGCTGAGTGATATTTCATGGTATGGATGTATCACAGTTTGTTGAACCATTCATCTGTTGAAGGACATCTAGAGTGTTCCCAGTTTTTGGTTATCACTAAAAATGTTTCTATGAACAATCGTGTATGAGTGTTTGTGGGAACATGTTTTCATTTCCCTGGGATAACTGCCCAAGAGTACAATTGCTGGGTCACCTGGTAGTTGCATGTTTAGTTTTATAAGAGACTGCCAAACTGTTTTCTAGAGAGCAATGTATGAGTGATTCAGTTTCTCACAATCCTGTCAGCATTTGGTGTCATTATTTTTTATTTTTAGCTGTTCTAAGAGGTGGGTATTGATATCTCACCATGGTCTTAACTTGTATCTTTCATGGCTAGTGATGTTGGGCATCTTTCAGGCGCTCTTTTGTGGAACATGTGGTTGCAAATATTTTCTCCCAGTCTGTAGCTTGTCTGTTCATCCTTTTCGCAGGATCTTTTGCAGATCAAGTTTTAAATTTTTAAAAAATTTTTTTATTGAGGTCGTATTAGCTTATAATATTGTGTAAATTTCAGGAGTACATTATTATATATAGGTTTCTGTATAGACTGCATCACGTTCACCACCAATAGTCTGGTTTTTATCTGTCACCATACGTATATGCCCCTTTACCCCTTTGCCTTCCTCCAGCCCCTTCCCCTCTGGTAACCACTAATCTGTTCTCCTTATCCATGTGTTTGTTTATCTTCCACATGAGTGAAATAACACGGTATTTTGTCTTTCTGTGTCTGGCTTATTTCACTTAGCATAATAACCACAAAAATCCATCCATTTTGTCACAAATGGTATGATTTTGTCTTTTTTTATGGATGAGTATATTCCATTGTATATATATACCACATCTTCTTTTTCCATTCATTCATTGATGGGCACTTGGGTTGCTTCCACCTCTTGGCTATCGTGAAGAATGCTGCAATGAACATAGGGGTGCATAACTCTCCTCGAATTGTAGATTTCAAGTTCTTTGTAGAAATACCCAGTAGTGGGATGGCTGGATTATATGGTATTTCTATTTTTAATATTTTGAGAAATCTGCCTACTGTTATGCGTAGTGGCTGCAACAGTTTGCATTCCCACCAGCAGTGTATGAAGGTTCCTTTTCGCCACATCCTCTCCAACATCTGTTATTTCTTGTCTTGTTAATTATAGCCAAGGTGAGGCAAGGTGACATCTCATTGTAGTTTTGACTTGCTTTTCCCTAATACTTAGTGATGTTGAACATATTTTCATGTGCCTGTTGGCCATCTGTATATCTTCTTGGAAAAATGTGTGTTCATGTCCTCTGCCCATTTTTGGATTGGGTTGTTTGTTTTTTTGTTATTGAGTTGTATGAGTTCTTTATATATTCTGGAAATTAACCACTTATAGGATATATGATTTGCAAATATTTTCTCCCAGTTGGTGGGTTATCTTTTCATTTGTTCATGGTTTCCTTTACCTTGCAGAAGCTTTTTTTGTCTGATGTAGTCCCATTTGTTTATTGTTTCTTTTGTTTTCCTTGCCTGAGTAGATATGGTATTTGAAAAGATACTGCTAAGACTGATGTCAAAGAGTGTACTGCCTATATTTTCTTCTAGGATTTTTATGGTTTCAGGTCTTACAT